ATACTACCTATGACGTAATCATCATCCAGACTCCCCTGCCCCCCATGTCAACCCAAAATAAGCAAATCAACAACTTCCCCACCCCCTATAGTGCTTAGGTAATACTTGAACGGCCCCTTATACATTACAGATTTTTTTCTCAGTGAAGTTCAACTGACATAAAATTAGTATTTAAAGTTGACGGCGTTGAGAGTTCGAATCTCGCTTTGGACGACCTGACATCGGGCAGCAGCGATGCCCATTTTTACTTCAAAATATAGATCAAAAATGTTTTCATTTGAAAATAAGCTCATTTCGGGCAATGGGAAATCTCTCACTCTATTCTTCGCTGAATCGAGTTGGACAGCTTACGGATCTGCCTTAAGGCAGTGCCACTTATTATTTATTTATCATTGAGAAAATAAAACCCATACATTTTATCATAAGTGCAACTTTATGATGTCTCTTTGGTGACAACACATACGCGTAATTATGGGTAAAACGACCGATTGCACAGAAAATACAAAGCTTTTTGACAGTACGTGACTACTAACTCATACAATTATAGACCCGTAAAATAGCATTATCAAAGCATTTCTATTTTATCTGAGAATTGGCTCTGGTATTCTGTCAATTCCTCAGAGCCTATAACAGTAAATATCTTGCCTAGTTTTATTATAAAATATTTCTAATATTTTCAACTGTATTTTTTAGCTAGCTCTATTATCTCCCCCCTATAGTATTATACAAATCCTAACATTATCTCTATGATTTCTCAATTTCATCTTCTTCAACTTTCGTTCGACCTTTCCGATCACACTTTTCGTAACGTCACAAATTCCAGTTCACGTACAAAAGTTTTAAGTCCAAATTAGATAATTTTGGAGATGCTCCTGAAGCTTTTCCTCACAATTTCATCGCCTATTTCAATATCAATCTCTCATTTCTTGAGATTAGTTTATCGCCGATCAGATTGACTCCGATGGATTGCAAGTGAAACAAACGGACCGATAATGGAAAGGCATAGTTGCGCACATGTCGAGCCGTCACGTCATCGCAGATATAATACTGCAATACTGTACAGTTTGCGAGCTGCGTACTGTTCGGGTGGGTTAATGGATCTAAAATAGTTCCGGCTCGTTAAACCGCGCGGTCGGGGTGGCGATGCACGGATCAGAGCCAGCCGCGAGTGTTAGGATGAGATTGCGACATGCAACCGATACCTAGATCATGAACACTTGCTGTAGAATGTAGATGAAACGTCGATTTAAATTGATTTTGAGGAAATAGAAGTATATGAATCAATATTTCATAAACTAAAGAGCTAGTGATTTTGCGAAGATACCTAGATTTTTTGTGATCATATGATGCCTCTTAAATTCTTTGGTTGCAAGAAATACATTTGAATTCGTTTATATTAAGATCAAAGCAAATTGACAATTGACAAAACAATTGACAACAAAGGTCTTTGTGTGACAATATGAGAACGTCACACAAAGACCTTTGTTAAAAAAACCTTATCTATGCAAATATGTATGTAGTTATGTATTTTAACAGAGAAACATGGGAACTATATGTGTACAGACATACATATTAAACTAGTTGGTATTGGTATTTTGCCTTGAGGCAAGTTACATGAACTTCCCGAAATGTATAAATAATCGATTTAATTAATAAAAAATAAATTAACTTTTGAGTGATTAAAAGTATTCCGAGTGGATTTATTACACATAACGAACACGTTAACTCGGAGTATTTTCTAAAAGCAAATTTTCAAAAAAAATTATAATTGAACCAGTTTCCGGAGGGCTATGATTTAGTATGTTCATTAAGACCAAGTACTCTATTGTTATATCAAGTAAATCGTCTAATTTTAATTTTAACTTTCATGAATTTTCAAAATTAAACAACTTGTCGTAAGACCGTAATATTTCAGTAAGTTCTATAAGGCCATGATATATATCACCAAAAAAAGTTCAATAAAAACCGGCTTAGATTTCTTTTTTAACAGTTAATTACAAGAAAAAGATTCCGTAGATTTTCCCCTAAAACTAATCAGTATCATTCTCAATTAATATCTTTCGAAAAGTTTTTGATTTTTTAAAATCAATTCGGTAGTATGAGCTTAAATGTGGACGAAAAGTTAACATTTTTTTCCAAATTACAAAGAAACGGCTTGGCAGATCGTCGCACAAAAAACTACGAAACGATCTAATTAATTGAGGTACATCAAATGGCTTTTAAATTTCTAAAATCGGTTCAGGCGTTTTGAGAAAACGTCGATGAAAGGTCTAATTTGACAAATGCCAAAAATTACTAATACTAATATACCGATACTAATTTTTGCAAACTTTGACGAATTTTTAAAATTAAACGACTTGTCGTAGGGCCGCCGTAATATTTTAGTATGATCTATAAGACTATGGTATCTACCGTCAAAAAAAATAAATAAAAAAATATTTACTTACATATTCGTGCAGTGATGTACAGAAGTCGAATTGGCCCAAAATTATCTGAAAATATAATCGACAATATTTTAGAATACAATATGAATTAAACAAAGCTCAATATTAGATTGAAAAGAAATTGTACACAAATTGAATTTGTGATATATTTCTAATCGAATATTTTTTAAAATCATGCTATAATATAAAATGTTTATCGTTCACATAATTATGAACTTATTTTTCATCTTACAAATACTTATAAATTTAATGAACAAAATATTTACATTGCTAAAATACATCTTATATAACATAATTGACTTGTATAGTGTTATCAATGCACTTATGCTTTGAAAAAATAAATAAGTAAATCAATAGAAATTAGGGTTTATACAAAACTCTAAAATATGTTAGAAAACCGGTTTTCGAAAGTTCTTTCGAATTGTAAACGGTTTTCTTAGTTT